GACTAAAACAGAAACAAGCTTAATGCTGTCTCTCATCTCCCTAGATTCAGTGGGCAAGAAAAAAGAACCCTGGTCAGAGAAGTAAAAACAGCTAAAGCTTCTCACCACTCTGGCTGGTCCAATGTAGTCACCAACATAAGAGGGGAGAGTTATCTCTCTGGAACATCTGGATCATCCTTTGCTCAGGGGTGGAACACATTTCCACCTGCAGGCTCAGCAGGTGTAAACAACAGCAATGATGTGAAAGTCCTGCTGCCCCAAACTGCCTCAAATACACAGCCCTCTATTTATGGGCTAGACTTTGTTCAAACACCATCAGTCATGCAGTGACTGGGCTGGGCAAGAGTAGTCCACTGATACTTTTAAAATAGATGGTTACAATCAGCTATACTCTTAGATTTCCAACACAGTATTATTGTTGAAATAAGTGATTAAGTTGGACTGCTCAGCGTTGTATTTAAATCTAACTGGATCCACCTAACTTAATTATCTCATTACAAAATAGTTCTATTATGGGAGCCCCAAAAGGAAACTGTCCCAAAACACTTAAAGAATCTATTAATGTATTATCTGAAAAGTACAAACCTTACCCAACAGGAAAAGAATAAAAGACGTAGAATAAAAGACGCTACATACAGAACACAGCATTTGGGAAACATGCATACGATCTGTCTAATGTCAGGTCACTGGGACAGTTCAGCCTCTGGTTTCAGGATGCAGAGTTTAGTAATATACAGCTATGACACAAAATGACAAAAATTTCGGTAAGTCAACTACAGTACTAAGAAGAATAGTAAGAACTCCAATTCCATCCCAAAAGTATTTGTCTTGGGTCATCTTTAATGAACCCAGAAGAGTCAGCATATTTCACAGGGGCTAAATAAAACTTTTTAAAAGGTTAATGGAAAAATATTTATGTGAAAAATGCCTCCAAATAATCTTTTAGTGGGTGGATTCGGCACATACCACTGAATACCTTTGAGCTTAGTCCAATTTTGAATTAAGCTAGAGTTCACCTTTAAGAAACAATGAACCTGTTTTTAAGTAAAACTCTGTATTAATAAGAAACATGGAATGTGAATACAAAAGAAAGATATTATCAGCTGAACTTATCTAAATATTTTACAAAGTTTTCCATGAGCCGTCAGGAGATCTTTAAAAACGCATAATCTTTTACAAAAATTGTTCGTCATTCATCTGTAAAAATCTAGCTTGTTATGTGTATGCCAAGCATTAAATTGTCCTGTGCTAAATTTGACATGAGCCTCACGTTACAGAATTACATTCTCTTGCCCTTTAACATGACTATGACAGATTCAAAGGGCAAAAACACACTTATAGTAGTCCACCTTCAACTGCAATTCAGTCCAATGAAGAAAGCCTGAGAAGCATGCAAAAATTAGGTCCACATTTTAAATCTGTAGGCAATCAAGCCAGGACCCAGGCTATGTAATCACAATCACTTGCAAAACCATTTAATTTTTCAGTTGTAATTGTTAGCAGTTTCTTAGGACTGTAATCTTTAAAATATCTTCTACCCCAAAAATAATAATGTCTCCCACTTCAAAAATTAAATGCATATGGTCATGAACTTTCTTTGTCTACTTATAGCTAGGTGTTAGCTATGCCAGGTTAAAACTCTCTTCTTTCCCCTTTCTAATTCTGCCTTTCTTTCTTTTACCTTTTGTATATTATGGTTGCAAGTTAATTCCATATTTATCCAAATAATGTTTGGCTAAAAATCTCATCTAATTACAGTTTGTGAAGTAAAGTAGGGTTTCACAAAGAAAACAATGAAGAGTCACTTTATGATGACATTCTGGTTTTTTTATAAAGTAATATGTTACCTTTTTAGATGTTATTCAAGAAAGGCTAATCACTTTACAAAAGTTACATAATTAAAGATTCTCAAAGCAATGAGTTTCTCCAGGTCAGACAACATGTCAGCAAGGCAGGCAGCACCAGCAATCTCAAATTCCTATCTCCCCCAACACGTGCCATCCTGTGAGATCCCTGTTCTAACCTCTGCCTGTGAAACACCAACACAGAAGTTTTCTTTACAGGACAGAAACCACTCAGGGAAAAATTTCAAACTTCAGGAACTAATTAAGTAGGAGTATATTTAAGCTAAATGTACCATAAGGCATGAATTTAAATTAAATTTGGGTAATGGGTGCATCACTTAAGTGATCAGTTCCTAAGAAGAGACCAATTTCTTCCCAATGTTGTCTTTGAGTAGCTACAAGCTGGCTCCAGAGGGAACTAACCCATTTCAGAGTCAGGTGGCCATTACCCTGTCTGGTAACTTGAGGCAGGGACCACTGGGTGCTCAGAGGGAAGGGCCTTGGAAACAGCCTTCTCACCCCTCACAGTTAGGAAGGGGTGAGGCATCATCCTCCTTTCAAATTCTCAGTGTGAACTACTACAGACAAGAGGAAGTTTAAAGTGTGTATAGCACAGCTATTTTAGCCTGGTTTCAACGAGCTTCATCACATCAAAGATTATGCAAATCTATTCATTCTTACATGTTTCTGATCACTGAACCTCACTGGCCACTTCACTCCTTCTTCTCCCACTTACAAAGAATTTCCCAGGTCCATTAGCAGTTAAACATCAGCAAACACAAAGCTAAGAGCCAAAATATCACTGTTTAATGATGGAGTTTGCAGGTTATTTATAATGTGATTTCACCTTAAAACTGTCAAGCTAAGACCTGACTTCCAGCCCTGACTGATGTGGCTCAGTGGGTTGAGTGTAGTCCTGAAAACCAAAAGGTCGCTGGTCCAATTCATGGTCAGAGCACATTCCTGGGTTGTGGGCCAGGTCCTTGGTTGGGGGCAGGCAACCGGCAACTGATCAGACATGTGTATGTTGCTCTCCCTCTCCTTCTCCCTCCCTTCCCCTTTCTCTAAAAAGTACAATAAATAAAATCTTAAAAAAAAGAACTGACTTCCATATTCAAATAAATAATGTTTCTATTCTTTGAAAAAATGTCTAGTGCCAGAAGTAACTATTCAAATATAAACTATATATTCTTTGGTCACCATGTACATGCAAAAGACATCTGACAGATAAAAAATGTAAGAATGGAATATTGGACAAGCCTACCCAGAATTATACATGTTTATTAAATAAGAGGAAGGAGAAGGCACAGATGGAAATCACACTCATTACACACTTACTAGAAAACAGGTGCTATGCTATCCACTTCACATAAAACTGAAATCAATTTAATCTTCTTATATTCCCTTACCAAGTAATTATAAACCTGTATATTCAAACATCAAAGGAATTAAACTCCAAGAATCCTGAACTGATTCCATTTTTTCTTTGAGATACCTGCTAAGCTATCACATTTATTATATATATATAAAATCAAAGGTTCAGAATCCTATTAAATTATTTTAATTATTCCCAGAAACTAGCTCATAAATTCCATTACATCACTGAAATATTCTTTTCAAGAGGCTAGTTTTGATGATCCAAAAACTCAGTTCTTATAAGCATGCTTTGATAAGAGTTTGTTATTAATTTCATTATACATTAAGAGAAGAACTGCTAATATCAAAGAATAGATTATGACAATTTACAGAATGAAGTTTATTGGACATCCAGAAGTATAAAGGAAGGAAACTAGGGGTGGAAATGATATGACTCCACTGGCCCTTCCCTTCTTAGGGTATGCACTGGCTGCTTGTTTTGTTTTTACTGATTTACAGTAAAATGGAACCTCAGTGAAAATAGATGCTTTTCAGGAGAGGTAGGGAGGAAATTAAAGATAAATGTCTATACTCCCAATGCATAACAGCCCGATCACACACCTTTGAAAACAGAAACAAACTGAAGTGGATTTTTAGGCACCTTTTAATATTATAATCAAATGTAATTTTGAGCAATTTTATTCTTACATTTCTGATATTTCAATAATGACTTTATTAAAAATTCTAATGACTCAGCAAAATGTGAAGAAAATGTTTATTGCAATGTTAAATGAAAACAACACAGTACAAACTTTCATCTATGGTATACACAAAATTGATCATCCATGCCTACGTTCCCATGGAAGATGGACGGCTCTGTCATATGCAACCTATGAGGAAAATCTAAATGGAGACACTGGTTGTGGTTGACTTAGGACGTTGATGTAAGTCAGCATGCAGTGAGTGTTTAGGGCATCATGCTTAGCATTAAAGTAAGACAGAAGAATATTCTGAATTATTCATAGTTTTAACAATTGATCTTTAATTGTAGAAACAATCAGCAGTTCATTAAAATTCTGATGTAGCTTCAAAACAGTAACAGACAGAAGTCATAAATACTATCTGATATGGTAGAAATAAAGAACCCTTCACAGATATCTAAGAAAAGTAGAGCAAACTCTTCCCTAAAAACTCATAAAATTATTATACAATCACATTTACTAAATCATTATCATCAGTCTTGAAGACCATGAACAGCACAGCTCTCAGATTATTGTTTCAGAACAGGAACACCCCTGAATGTCTGTAATCTGTGTTTCAAACAAGGATCATACAGTTGATTTTGCAATAGTTAATTTAGATTATGTGTGAACTTACTCTATTTTAATTAATAAAACATTAATTTTAATGTTAAAAAACATAATTATGTAAAAATGTGTGTTTACCTAAAAAGAATTACAACTGTAAACATTTGTTTGGAGTATAATGAGCTTGTAAGTAATGGTTTTTCTCTTTTGATTGTTTCAAATTATAATTATGCTACAATAAAAACAACTTAAAAAGAAAGAATATCATCACTATGTGACTAAAATGCTATGCTGTCTGCTATGGCTTCACCATATTAAGAATACAAGTGCCTGTGTCTTCCAGCAATTCCACAAAAGCAAATACCACATGTCCTTGTACCCCCGTAACACCAAATATGGCACCTTGAGCCCAGACAGACCCAATAAATAACCAGAGACCCACTAGTCACTGAACCACCAATAAACACCAGCATAGTTAAAAGTAAAAACTTACTGTTATTTGTTGGTTCAGGAAAACCAGCCTTTGGGCCACTCCATCCTTTGTTTTCCCCTGTCTGAAAGATTAAATCAATTGTAAAATTCCAGAGAAACAGACTAGTCAAAAAGAAACAAGTTACGAAATCAATTAAGCAAGGGCAAAGGTCTCTCACATAGTTACTCAGCTTATTCTCTCCACCCCTGACAGCAGGGCCATGGGCACAAGAGCAGCTAACTTGAGCAGTATTATCCATCCCTTTTCTACATTCAAATCTGTTTTTTATGTGTCACTCTGCTTTTACCCTCACTTACATTTACAAGTTAAGTCATTGAGAAAGCCCCATGTTAGCTATATGCAACACCCACTCTATCTAGGTGGTTAAAAATAAACAATTCTTATTCAAATAGTAAACAATCATCATCGCAGTGCCAAAGAGACATAAGGAGCTTCTTTACCCTTCCTGAGGACAAATTAACAAATAGCAATATTACTATGTCTGTTCTGGAAGTCCTTTTTTTAAAAAAATATTTTATTTATTTTTAGCAAGAAGGGCAAAGAGGGAAAGAGAAAAAGAAGAGCTGATGTGAGAAATATAGATTAGTTGCTTCTTGTGCCCTCAACCTGGGGCCTGGCTCACAACTCAGGGATGTGCCCTGACCAGAAATCACACTGGTGACCTTTTAATTTGCAGGATGATGTCCAGCCCACGGAGCCACACCGGTCAGTGCCTGGAACAGTCCTTGACAATAATCACCATATACTGCTAATGACATATACAACAAATTGAAAACTAAGCCTTAACTTTAAGTAAAACTTGTAATATCCTGAATTTCACCAGATAATTTGACATATGTTTGGTGTAAACTTAGTCTGAAGTAGTAAGTATATAATCAAATTAATCAGTGACATTAACTGATTATATTCTCTTCTGATGGAGTTGATATTATTGATGCCAGGTATCCCAGGAAAGAAAAGGCACATTTCCCATGATAATCAGCATTGTATACTTGTTATCAGATGTCAAAGATCAAGTGGATACATTAAACCCAGCTATAAATAAAAATATAATTCTAGCACATAGTTTGCCACTTTAAAAGGATGGAGGAAGTGTAAATGTTTGTAAAAATGCAGATCTATGTTGGTGGGGAGCCAAGGAGACTCCCACTTCTATGTTGTCTGTGAAGTACAAGATGAGATCATAGAATGAGAGGGTTGCTGATCAAGGGGAAGAGTAAGTTGGAAGAAAGTGCACATAGGGAATAAGCCACTTTCACGAGGGAAAGAACAGACTGATGAGAAGAATGCAGATTCTGAGGCAAAGCCGGCAGTAATAAATTTAGCATTTCATACAACCTTTCTTATTTCTTCTTCTACTAACAACCCAAGATTATTTAAATATTAGATTATATTCCCTATGCCTAATTTTTCACCTTCAACTGAATCCCAAGTCTACCTGCTATTTCTGAAGATGAACCCTGGAAGGGCCTGAAACAGGACAATTGTTTGGAAGTCTTCCAAGAGGCTATGAAACCTCCAGGTTGTCTGGTTGACCCCAAGCAGACAAATTTCCTACAAGGTTTCTCTTTGGCTAAAACACAGAGAGTCTGGACACCATCCACAGGGGAGGGTGAGATCACCACCCCAACATGGCAAATAGGAGATGGAGTCAAGGGTTACATCCTGGAAGGTAAGGTCCCCAGCTCCCTTCCTCGCTTGGGCCTCAGAAGACAGCACCCATGCTTCTAACCCAAAAGCAACGGTAAACACAATATAGGGAACAAAAAAAACCCTTCAGGTTTAAAGAATCCTCAGATACATAAAAAAGTATTATACCCATTAAATAAGAACATGAGGCTATAAAAAGGAATATTCTGGAAATAAGGAAGAGCTCTGGGACCTTAGTAATATAAACAGCCAAAGTAAAAAATTTCAAAAGAGGATAGAATGCAAAACTGACGAAATCTCCTAGAAAATAGAACAAAAAGAAAAGATACACAAATAGAAAAGAAAAAGAAAGACAGGAGGGAAAGGAGGGAGGGAGAGAGGAAGGAAGGAAAAAAAACAGAAGATCACCCATAAGAACAACAGATATTACAGAAGGAAATAATAGCAAAAATGATACAAAAATTATCAAAGAAATAATATAAGAAGTTTCCCAGTTTAAAAGTATGTAAATTTCTAGATTGAAACCCAAACACCCAAAATCCTCTGCCCCACAATACACACATCAAGTCAATTATCCATGACACTTCTGAACCCCTGAGAAAAGAAAAACTAGGAAAGAGTGGAAAGGGAGAAGAAATGTAAAAGTTTCATATATAGACAGCAGAATCAAAGGGCACTGGAGTTTCCAACATAATACTGGCAGACAGAAAATTTGGGGCAATGCCTTTAAAACCCTGTGAAAATTTTATTTCCATTTTAGAATTATACCTCAGAAAACTATAAATCAAGTAAGTATATGGGAAATGTAAAGGTATTTCAGACACAAAATCAGAAAGCTACTAAAAGTAAGGGTTTACAGGAACAAGTATAAAGGACACATGAACAAAAACTAGGGGGGGTGGAAATGGGAGGGAGGTGGGGAGCACTGTCAGGGGGTGGGCTGGGATGAAAGTAAAAGACAGAAAACTGTACTTGAACAACAATTAAAATTTTAAAAAGTGTTATAAAAAAAGTATATACTCCATCAAAACAAGGAAGTAAATCAGGAACAATAGAAACTGTCCAGAAAACTGGCAACTCAATAAAGGAGAGAGGCCAAAGGAAATTTCAGGATGATGGTGAAAACAGAAAAGTTTTGAACAGACACTTCAAAGAAGAGATATGAATGGGGCATAAATACATAAGAATCTCGACATTACAGTGAAATGAAAATTGAAATCCAATGAGATAACATTATACATCTATTAATATGATCAAAACCAATAATACCAAGAACTAGAGAAGATGTGGGGTAATGGGAGTTCTCCAATATTGCTGGTGGGAATGCAAAATGGGACAGCCTCTCTGGATAACATCCTCACAGCTTCTTCCAAAGTTACAAATGGACTTACTATATAAATATGTACATATAAAATATACTAGAAGAATATGTATATATAAATACTTATACATAAATCTTTATAAATACTTTATAATAGCCTCAAACTATAAACAACTCAAATTTTCCTAAAGAATAAAATAATAAAAATGCAACTTCATAGGTAAATCTCCACAACAAGAAGCCAGACACAAAAGACTATATACTGTATGATTCGTTTTATATGACATTCTGGAAAAGGCAAAATTATAGACACAGAAACCAGATCAGTGCTTGCCAGGTGATGAAGACAGGGGAAGAGTTTAACTACAAATGGACATAAAGAAACTTTTTAGGATAACAGAAATGTTATAAATCTTAATTGTGGTGATGGTTAATAAGTGTATATACTTATTAACACATGCACATATTTGTCAAATATATTTATCAAAAGCATTGCACTGCACCTCAATAAATCTGAATTTTTTTAAAAAAATAGGGGTATTTTAATGCATACAACACACAGAGTTTCTCTGTGAGGATATTCATTTTATTCTTATTTATCAAATCCTCATAGTCACTATTTCAGACATTATTCTAGATGCTATACAAATATTAATGCACTGTAGGAGATGCCTTTAGGAAGAGAGACTTATAATCTAAGTGTCTCAGACTAATATTTTTTAACATGTGAGATTAAAGTTTTTTCACTGTTTACTCTTTTGTGGTATTTTAATTCTTTCAACCGTGTACATATCTTGCTTATTTAAAAAAAGAAAAAAACTTTTAAAATACTGTTTTTGTATAAATGTGCCATAGTTGAAACAAAATACTTAGTCCCGAAGCAGAATTTTTATCCAGTCATTACTGAAGGACACTTGGGCTGCTTCCATATCTTGGCAATTGTAAACAATGCTGCAGTGAACACAGAGGTGCTTATGTTCTTTCAAACTGGTTTTTGGTTCCTTCACATATATTCCCAGAAGTGGGATCACTGGGTCAAAAAGCAGATCCACTTTTTTTTTTTACACAATGGAATACTACTCAGCTGTAAAAAAGAAGAAAATTTTACCCTCTGTGACAGTATGGATGGACCTGGAGAACATTATACTAATAAAATAAGCCTGTCAGAGAAAGAGAAATACCATATGATTTCACTTATATGTGGAATCTAATGAACAAACTGAATTAACAAGCAAAATAGAAACAGACTGATAGGTACAGAGCAGGCTGACAGCTGGTGGAGGAGGTTAGGGGGTGGAGCCACTGAGCAAAAAGGAAAAAGGACTCATGGAAATGGACAAGAGTGTGGTGATTGTTGGGGAGAAGGGGTATAAGGGGGCCATGGGTAATGGGAAAAATACAATTAAAAAGAAAAAATAAAAAATGCCCTTGAGGAAAGGAAAAAAATAAATAAATACTGCTTTTGAAGATTTTCAAAATTCTGTGAAGATCTTATTGACAAGACAATGTACTCAGTCCTCCCATTCAAGCTCAGCCTTCTCTGGCTGCCACCTCTTTCCTTGTCATTCTCTATTTCTCCCTCTTCCTGTGTCCCCAGGCACATCGCCTGCTACTGAAGTCTAAACACAAACACTTGAGAAATATCTGGTATCTTTTGCCCGCTCTCACCACCACTTCCTTAGTCTAGACCCTCAGTATGTCTTACCTGAACAATTCAGCTACTCATCCTGCTCACATCTATTCACCCCATTACATTTAGGGCTGTCTTTTGAATAATACAAACCAGATCATGTTACTTTCATGTTCAAATCTTAAATTAATAATTCTCTAAACTCTTTACTTTGCTATTCCTGACTTTTCAGATTCATCTTTATGTTCTCTAGGTTCCAGGATACTGTAATTTTTGCTACATGATTAAAGCTCCTCACCCCAACACTTACTACTCAGTTTCTTGAGTGCAGGAACCAAGTTTCAATTATCTTGTCTTCAGCTATAAGTATTTGGCAGTTAGTGGGTACCATGGTTAATTGTATGAATCAACTTGTCTGGGCTACTGGGCCCAGATATTTGATCCAACATTATTCTGGGTGTTTCTGTGAGGGTGTTTTAGGAGAGACATACATTTAAATAATTGAACTTTGAGTAAAGCAGGTTTCTCTCCATCATGTGGGTGGGCCTAATGAGTTGAAGGCCAAGTAGATAAAAGGCTGACCTCCTGAAGAAAGAGGGAGCTCTCCAGTAGAACTGCACCCAAACTGCAACACCTGCCTGAGTCTCCAGCCTAAATGCCTCCCCAGCAGACTTTGTACTAGTCAGGCCTCCACCACTGCATGAGCTAATCCCTTAAAATGGGTCTCTGTATGATGCTTATCTATATATAAGCATACACACATATATATGTATGTACATAGATGTATGTGCACATGCATATACAAGCACATACCCTGTTGGCTCTGTTTCTCAGGAGAACGCTAGTAATACAGTGAGTATGATAAAATGTTTTTTAAATTCATGAAATTAATGCTGTTTTTTGTTCTATTTTGTTTTCACTTAACTTACAAATTAATGTCTGAGACTGATTTTGACATATTTTTATAAATCACTCACCAGGTTTAAGTCAATATAAATGTGTTAAGTTAAAATAACATATACACAATATAAGAACTATAGAAACTTGGACACATGTTAGGTTTCACATTACAAATATTTTTAAGAAGAAAATGCATTAACTCCCCAGGTTATAAAAACAGAACTGAAATCTCTAGCGATACCACACAGACAAATAATTTTTTAATTACTCAAAACAATTGCCTACATATCCCTAGTTGCCTTAAAAAGAAAAGTATATTTAAATGTTTTTTAATAGATGGTTTTGTTTCTCAGAAATGTGTTCCTGCAAAAACTGAAAATGTTTTTGAAACAAAATCCTTAGGTGAGAAAATGGGATGGAAAAAAAGCAGATTTTTTTATAGAAATAATTATTCAGCCTGTTTTATGAATTTTCATACAAAGAAAATGTTAATAATAATTTCTACATGTACATAGGTGAAATAATAATTTAATACCAAAAGAAATTAAACCAGTTCTTGGCAAGTTATCTGCCAAGTGCTGAATTCAGGGCTCCCTGCCTCTCTGGCAACAGAGGCAGGTGTTAATGATGTCATTAACTGCACAGAAGAAACAGGGAACCATGAGCACAGGTCGTGGCAGAAAATAAACACCCTCTGAGTTTACCTTTAAATTGAAAGTAAATAGAAAAATTAGTTTATAGAGTGTCTGTCCAATATAGTTTCTGCCCTAAAGGGATAACTCACGATCTTTATTTCCAATGTGTTCAGGTGTAGTTCAGAAATAAAAGCTAACCTCTGTTCTTAAAAATTTCACACAAATTAAAACTGTCTACATGGCCAAACCCACCAATCAATAAGTTAAAAATCACTAAATTGGTATTATAAAAATACACACAGCCATACAGCAAATTTTTAATATTTGCCAACTGTAAGATTATAATTAATACTTCTTCATCTTGACACCATAAAGAGATGTAATTTTGTAACTGGAGAATCTATCTTTCAAGTTATACAGTACTGCCTTAGAAAAGTTAAAATTTGATGTCTACTTTAACATCAATGAAGACATTACTTAGAGTCAGGGAACACTGGAACAGACTTTGTTCATCACTTTGATATTCTGGCAGCATAGGAGTTGTACATGTAAACTTAACTCTCACCTTGTCAAGTTGATCCTGAAGACTAGTGGATGCTTTATAACCAAGCTGTAACAGCATTGCTTCCGCAGCATTTTTTTTAGCTATCTTTTTATTAGGTCCTGTTCCAGTAGCAACTTCATTGCCTATCTTGACCTGATAAGATTAAAGTAAGAAATTAATAAGAGTTGTCTAATAAACAGGAACTCCTTAACACCATAAAGCAATGTGTTCTGCTCTCTAGCATTCAAAAATATGAAGTTCAGTCCATGGTAAAAACAATTAAGATATATCCCACTTACATAATATTATATAAACAAGTGAAAATATACATGGAAAAATTATGGAAATATGGTTCTCAAAATATCAATGGAAGTTATCTTAGAATGTCTTAGATTATCTTCTTTGTAAGGAAGATTTTTACTTCCTTACATATTTTGTATTATTTGATTTGTTAAACAATAAGCTTATCGTTTAACTTTTCTGCTTATAAGCTTTTCTGCTTATAAAAGCAGAAAAACAAAATTCACATGTACTAGAGTATATGTTAGTTCTAACTACATTTAGTATTCTTTATTTAAAATAAAAAACTGAAAGGGCTGAAATTCACATTGGTACCATTTAAAATAATGTTCACATTGCATTAGCAAGTTTACAAAGGTTTATATTAAAGTTCCTGAAGAACAGTGCCTGAAGAATTAATATACAGAGGTTACTACAATATTGTAGTTAAGAACAAAGACTTCCAAGTTAATTTGGGGTGTAAAATTCAATTCTACTACTTCCTAGCTATGTGAACTGATTCAAATTATTTAACATCTCTAAGCTTCAGTTTTTCTATCAGTAAAAGAGGAGTAATACAACTACCTCATAGTGCTGCTTTGGAAATTAAATAAAATAATGTATGTTATCTGCAATTTATAATTAATCATATTACTCGATAAATAGTAGCCTTTTATCATTAGAACTATTCCACAGTATTCTTTAGTGAATAAGTGATACGTATGTGTGCATATATGTATACACATATATTTAAATGTTTATCTCAACTTATATCCACACATACATTTTCTGAGTTGGGTAATGCTCTTTTAGAGATGCATGTGCCAAGAGATAAGACAAATGTAAAACATACACTTGAAAGCAAAAAAGAATAAAATTACCAGACAAAATAGAAAATAAACAACTTACAGTGTGATTTGTGCTTAAACACTGGTCTCAAAAAGTGGTTGAAGAAACAGACAAGAAGGAAATCACAATTTTGAAAATTAAACAATGTAATCTCACAATCTATGGGCAACAAAAAAATCCTAGTGGAAATCAGAAAATATTTAAAATAATAATGAAGGAAATACAATATACCAAAAGTTGAAAGATGCAGCTATTGGAGGGTCTAAAAGAAAATATACAACCATAAATGCTCAGTGAAAGATAGAAAAATAATGAGTTAAACACCCATCTTAAGAAGTTATTAAGCTTTGGCCTGTTTGGCTCAGTTGGTTGGAGCATTGTTCTGTAAACCTAAAGGTCATGAGTTTGCTTTCTGGTCAATGCACATCCTGGATTTGGTCCCTGGTTGGAACATGTACCAAAGATAATCAATTGATGTTTCTCTCCCTCTCGCACTCTCCCTCCCTTCCTCTCTCTCCCTCTCTTCATCCCCCTCTTTCCCTTCCTTCCCCTCTCTCTAAAATCAATAAACATGTCCTGGGGTGAAGAAAAGAAAATTATTAAGAAGAAAATCCAAAGAAAAAAGATGAATAAAAACAAATGCAGAAATTAAGGAAACAGAAAACAAAGTACAAAAGAGAAGTTCAAAAAGCCAAAAGTTGGTTCCCTGAAAAGAATAATAAAATAATAAACCAGAGACTTCTGGCCAAGATGGAGGTGTAGGTAGAAACACTGTGCCTCCTCATACAACCAAAAGAATGACAACAAATTAAAAATAAAAACAACCAGAATTGACAGAAAATTGAACTGTATGGAAATCTAACAACCAAGGAGTTAAAGATGAAACATTCATCCGGACACGTAGGAGGGGCGAACACCAGTGGCTGGGGCGGAGATGACTCACAGCAAGGCAGCAGCCTGAGTATGGGGTGAGGTGGCGGCTGGAGGGCTGGGTGGTCCCACATTTGCATGTGGATAAACCAGGAGGAACAACTAGAGAGAGAGACAGACCACACAACCCAGAGTTCCAATCCAGGGAAATAAAACCTCAAAACCTCTTATTGAAAAAATCTGTGGGGCTTGAGGTGGCAGGAGAAACTCCCAGCCTCACAGGAGAGTTCATCGGAGAGACCCACAGGGTCCTAGAATGAACAAACCCACCCACCTAGGAATCAGAACCAGAAGAGCCCAATTTGCTTGTGGGTAGTAGGGGAAGTTCAATGATAGCTGGCCGAGAGTCTAGCAAGTAGCATTGTTCCCTTTGGACCCCTCCCACCCATATAGCATCACAAAGTAGTGACCTGGGTTGCCCTGCTCTGGTATATTCATGTAAGGCTCCACCCCTTATTACATAATAGGTGCATGGAGACAAAAAAAATGGCCCAAATGAAAGAACACATCAAAGCTCCAGAAAAAATAAAACTAAATGATGAAGAGCTAGCCAGCCTATCAGATGCACAGTTCAAAACACTGGTAATCACAATGCTCACAGATATGATTGAGTATGGTCGCAAAACAGAAGAAAGAGTGAAGGCTATGAAAAGTGAAATAAAGGAAAATGTACAGGGAACCAACAGTGAAGGGAAGGAAACCGGGACTCATATCAAAGGTTTAGAGCAGAAGGAAGAAATAAACATTCAACCAGAACAGAATGAAGGAACAAGAATTCAGAAATATGAGGAGAGGCTCAGGAACTTCAGGGACAACTTTCAACATTCCTACATCTGAATCATAGGGGTGTCAGAAGGAGAAGAGGAAGAGCAAGAAATTAAAAACTTATTTTTAAAAATAATGAAGGAGAACTTCCCTAATCTGGCAAAGGAAATAAATAGACTTTCAGTAAATCTAGGAAGCTCAAAGAGTCCCAAAGAAGTTGGACCCAAGGAAGCACACACCAAGGGACATCATAATTACATTACCCAAGATTAAAGATAAGGAGAGAATCTTAAAAGCAGCAAGAAAAAAGGAGACAGTTACCCACAAAGGATTTCCCACAAGACTATCAGCTGATTTCTCAAAAGAAACCTTATGGGCAAGAAGGGGCTGGAAAGCAGTATTCAAAGTCATGAAAGGTAAGCACTGACATCCAAGATTACTCTATCCAGCAAAGCTATCATTTAGAATGGAAAGGCAGATAAAGTGCTTCCCAGATAAGGTCAGGTTAAAGGAGTTCATCATCACCAATCCCTTATTATATGAAATGTTCAAGGGAATTATCTAAGGAAAAGAAGAAGATAAAAAACTATGAACAGTAAAATGACAACAAGCTCACAACTATCAGCAACTGAACATAAAAAAAAAAACAACTCAGCAAACAATTAGAACAGGAGCAGAATCACAGAAATAGAGATCACATGGAAGGTTATCAGCAGGGAGGGTGAGGGAAGAGAATTGGGGAAAAGGTATAGGGAACAAGAAACATAAATAGGAGGTACAAATAGACAGGGGGAGGTTAAGAACAATACAGGAAATGTAGAAGCCAAGGAACTTATATGTAGGACCCATGGACATGAACTAAGGAGAGGGTGAATGTGGATGGGAGGGGCAGTACAGGGTGAATAAAAGGGGGAAATAAAGGAGGAAAATGGGACAAATGTGATAGTGTAATCAATAAAATATATTTAAAAAAATAAAATGATAAACCAAAGGTAAGACTGATGAGGGGGAAGACACAAGAAAATGGAAGATCATAATAGCTTTTGTAGCATTATAAAATAATAGGAATATTAAATACTTCAGCTAAAATTTTATGAAAATTAAGATAAAATTGAAAAATTCCTAAAGAATATAATTATCAAAAACTGGCACAGAACAAACCAGTAACTGTACAGACTTATTACTGCTAAAGAAATTAAACCATATTTTTTTTAATTCCACAAAATAACTGAGATCCTCTCCAGCAAGTTCTACTCAGTATTTAAAAAAAAAAACAAATAATCTTACAAAAATTCACCTGATTAGAAAAAGAGGAATCAGTCCTCAATTATTCAGTGAAGAATCACTTTAATTCCAAAATCCAGCAAGAACAGTATAAAAAAGAAAACTGAGATGTATTTCACTCATAAACATAAATGCAAAGTTTAAGCCATATAATAGTACATTAAACAAATATAAATCTAAATCTAAAAATAATCTAATATAAATATAAAAAGAATCATAACAAAGTTAGGTTTAGTCCAGATATGCAAGGCCAGTCTACATTTGAATCTCAAACAAAATCAGTCAATGGAAACTGCTTATTAATGGGTTAAGCAGACAAACCATGTAGTCATCATAATAAGTGAAGCAAAAGCATTCGATGAAACTCAACATACATTGATAATAAAAACTCTTAGCAAAACAAAAACTCGTAGATAAAGAAGGAAACTTCCTCAATACAATAAAGGGTACTTAACAAAACAAAAACAAAAAACCCTACAACAAACCTCAGCAAACATTATACTTAATGTTGAAATTTTGAAAATAGAACACAATAAGGAAGACCTCTATATTTACCAGTACTTAGCATTTTACTACAAATCCTGGACAAAGTAGTAAGGCAAGGAAGAAAAAGGTATATAAATCAGAAGTGTAAAAACAAACTCATTATTTGTTGATATGATATATATATATATATATATATATATATATATATATATATGAAATCCAAGAAAACCCTACAAATAAATTGTAAAATTTATGAATATAAGATGTTCTCTATATAAAAGGTAGTATACAAAAGCCAACTGCATTTGTATATTCTATCAATAGTCATGTGGAAAATGAAAAGTATTAAAAGACACCATTTACATTAAAATAAAATACCTTTACACAGAAAACTAAGCATTATTGAGAAAAGTTAAGGTAAACCTAATAAATAGAGATACACCATGTTCATGTATTATAGACTCAATATTATAATGATACCAATTCTCTTCAAGTTGACTTATAAAATCAATGAATTCCCATTAAAATCCCACACGGATTTTTACAATGCTTCACAAGCTGATTCCAAAATGTGCATGGAAATGCAAAGTACGAAGAGCAGCCAAGAGCCTTTTGAGGAAGCACAAGGTGAGGCACTTACTCTTCTGGATATCTAGATTTATTATGAAGTTAACATAAGGGCAAAGACAGATAAATCTGACTACTTTAAAACTGATGACTTCTGTTCCTTAAAAAGCATCATTAAAGTGAAAGTCACAACATAAGAGAACATATCTAAAATGCCACAAAAGTGCAAAAGACTTGCATTACACAATATATAGTGGATTCTTACAAGTCAACTTTTCAAAAGCCAGTAGAAAAATGAGCAAGAGAGGTGAACAGGCAACCTATATCTGAAAATGTGGGGCATTTTATCAGGTGTCATTGTGTTTTGTTTTAAAAAGGCAAGAAAGCTTCAATAGCTTCTTGCCACATTAATAAAATTTCACAATGACAATATACTGGGTACTAGCAATGAATGGGTAGGTGGTACAACTAAATCAAGTTTCCAGATATAAAACATGATACTTCTACCCTTATCTTTCCTTTTTGACTTTTACGGGCTATTTCAGTTGTCTCAATACACACAGATTCCTATCTGGTACTCACTTGTGTACTGTTTGTCATTTAGTCTTACATTGTTATTTAGAGTTTTGTGATACTATTTCCTTTGCTACTTTTAAGCTTCAGGGAACCAACTGCTTTTAAGGAGCTAGGGATACACAATATAGAGGAGAAAAAAACCTTAAATATAAACAATGTATAAGCTATATGTCAAAGAAATTGCACTTTTAAACAGAATTTTAGTCAAGATGAGCTATAGTTTTCATAGTATATGAAACATTGTAAATATACTCATTATAGAATTTCTGTAACTATCACAAATGTCATAGTTCAACTGTGCAGTGTTTCTGGAATATTCATTGCTTTTTCTTCTGATTCCAGAAACTACCATATTATGACAAATCAGCAGTAACCTATGGGCCTCACTCAGAAGCACTGGTCTAGCTCTGTTCATGGGAGATCCTTGGAGCCAGGTGAACACCTACCACCTCTCATGTCTGTGTGGGCCTGCACCTGACCTGTACACAACAGACTGAAGGAATAATGTGCTTAAGTCCCTGGCTGGAGCCAGCCTCTGCTACCCAGTGTTCTTTCCAGTGCTTGGTTTGTTTCCAGCTTCAAAAGCTGCTGGATTTCTTGGTTAGCTAAAAGATCAGGCCAGCTACATCAGAAGCTTCCTCTATATTGCTCTGAGTATCAAAAGACTGGCAAAAGTAAATGGAAGCAAATGACAACTGGGGAAAATATGTTTCATCTGTATTGAAATGCTGTGCACAGCACTCACTCTGATTCAATTTTTCTGCTGGTTCCTCTCTACATCTCACTGATCTACCCAGGCCTGGGCCCTTTGGCTCCAAGTCCTGCTCCTGGCCATGCTGCTCCCATCTTGGTAGTCACCTTGAGTTTATATCTGCTAGCTTTCCACCTGACCTATTCTGATTTCTTCAAGACTTACTTCTAGAACAGATGTTTCCAGAATCATTTTTCCCATTCACCCACCCCTTGTCTCACACAAGTTCTTAAAGAGACATGGTTCAATAGTTTGTTGAGCAGGTACCCTAAGTTATTTATTAGTATTAAGACTGCTATAAAAATTTTTAATAAAAAATAAAATAAATTATAAAAGTCTGCTGTGCTGAAGGACTTTGGTTCCATGCTAGCAGCAGTCACTTAAAAAAATCACTTCTATATGAAAGTCAAGCAAGTATGCAATAAACTTAAGTCATCTTCCCAGAAACCTCACATATTTTTAACTATTATACATAAGATTTTTATATTAACATATTAATTTTTCTGCAAAGTACAATTTTGCTATGCAATAAATTTCAGACTAGATTGTTTTAGAAATAATTTAAATAAATCAACAACTCATAACCTAACAAAAAAGTTCTAAACACTTTTGCCAAACAATTTATTATATTTCACTGAGTCAAAAATAAAATTGATGAAATTTGCTTTATATATTTTTAAAAACCTAGAGATCTTAATCACAAGTAGAAAATTAACATTATATGATCTATAATGATACAGTGTGCTGATATGCAATTTAATTTAGTTAGCATTACTTTTCATTTTGAAAAATTAAAAAAAAATCTATGTCTAAAAAAATAAAAAGCTTTTAAGAAATTTTCTCTGGAACTAATACCAAACTAATATCATCAAAAATTTTCTTTTATTGAGCAATAAAAGAAAATTTTCTTTTATTGAGCAAGTTTACATTTTGGTGATAAATAAATATTAGCATATTATCTCTAGATATCTTACTTCCATGTTCAATTTTAACAAATTATAATACTGCCTAAGTAGTTTATGCAAAAAGCCCTCACTTTGATAAAGTTGCTGCAATATAGTAATGAATCCACTGGGACTCCCAGAAGAGGGAAAAACAGTATAATTCAGTGTGAAAACATGTAAAAGCATAGCCTAATGTTCCCATTTGACTAGAATGCTTATGAACACCCATAAAATGGAAGCTGGTGTAAGGTACTCTAAATTCCTCTTTCAAAAGGGGTACTCAATATTTCCCACAGAAAAGGAATTGTTTAATAAAGTCAAAACTAGTTTTTATTCCTAATACAGGTCTAAAATTTAGGTAATTTTTTTTTCTTCAAGCTTTGGAGGTCAAAGAATACTTTCTAGAATTCTTCAAATCTAAGAATGTAAAAAGAAAAAACTGGTGCATATATTTTACAAGGTGAAGATACTAGAACAATGCTCTTCTGGGTCCTAATGACATCTAGAACATAATGGCTTACTAACCACAGACGAATTCCCCTCTGTGGATGTCTAGGTTCCCAACAGCGGTTCATCTGTGACTGTATCATAAATTTACATCTCCAACAAAAGCCAAATATACTAGCTCTCAACCAGGCAGACAGGTAGCAGCAAATATACTCAAAGGTTTACTAAGGTCCTATTATATACAGGCCACTGTATTAGATACTGTGAGATAAATATAAAGATTATGAATGAGGAAGTTAGGTGTAGTTTTGATAGGCACGAAAAGTTCATCAACATGAGAGACAATGCTACAGTATTAAAATCTCTCCCATATGGTCACCACTTAATAAATATCTGTTCATTTTAACTGGATTATATTAAAGGTAAGATCCATGGGTTCGATTGGAAAAAGTTTCTTTGATAAGCCAATTACAACAAAAGGAGTTTGGAGACAATAAGGATAATTTAAATATAGATTGATTTATTATATGATTCTAATGAATCATGCCTAATGTAAGAAAAACTTATATTTTTTAGAGATACACACTAAATACTACGTAGGTTGAAATAACATAGTTAGAAATCAGCTTTGAAATTCTTTAGGAAAGAAGGGAGGGACAGAGGAAGGAAAGAAAAACTAACAGCTGAAGCAAGTGTGGTAAAAAACCTGAAATGTTATATCTGGATGATGGACATATTCCCCAACATGCCATTATACTATTCTTCATAGTATGCTATTAAATATATCTACCTCTGGATATGCTTGAGATTTTCATAATAAAAATTAAATGTTTCTTCATCACTGGGGCTTGAACTGGCAACTGCTGAAGCACACATGGGATGTGAAAGCAGGAGGGCATTTCAGGTAGTCTATCTTGTTGCCAGTCCCCATCCTTCTGCCAATACACTAGCAACCAACCACACCCCAATTTTCTTGGCTGCACAACACTGCAGCTGAAACTCTGACAACTCTGAGTCCCTCAGTCCTCACCATGGTTAGGGAGAAAGCTAGCTAGCTCTCTTTTCCTAATTTTCCTGAAAACCCAAAGTTCATGCTCTTGGCCCTGTTCCATTTACGTCTGTCCTTCTCAATTTTGTTTCTAATTCCATCTGTCTCCTAGTCCCAGTAGTTAACAGACTCTGGCTGCACATTGTAACACAGTAAGATAGAGACAAGCTTTCTAAATGATAAACTCTGGGATAAACAACCTGTGTGAACTCAGTCCCTTCAAAACTCTTCTGTCTATTCTACCATGTCCTTGACACTTGAAATGTTTCAACCAAGGCCTGGAGGGAATAAATTCTCTAAGGGTAGATAGTGTTACTTTGTGCTATTCATTCCTAATTAGCCTTTCCTCCATATCTCTATTCCAACCTGCAGATTCCTAGATTTTTTCAATAGTTAAAAAAAAACTCTTCTCATATAAAAGTTAGAAATACCTGCATCACAAATTCCCGACGTCGAGGCATTCCTCTCTCTGAAAGCAAAACATAGTCTGGCTCCTTCTCCTTCTTGGCCTGTTGAATTTGAGCCAGGCGGCTAATGGGGTTCATTCCTTGACCATATTCTGGTCCAGCCTAAAGAACAATATAAGAAAAAATTTCAAAACATGCTTGTAAAACTTGTTATTGGATCCTGAAAGTGGTTCTCTCCTCCGCCCCTATACCCCAAAACTGACTAGAGAAGATAAATGAGAGTCATTTATAAAGATTTATGGAGGAAACGCATAAAAACAGATCTGAAACTAAGGCTTGTACGGGACTTACAGCTCCGAGGTATTACTGATAAATTGGGTCAACTATTCTGCTTTTAAATTCTTCAGTATAGCTACTTCATACTTCTGTTCATTAAAAAATACCAAAGAATAGAAGACAAGCCATAAATTGGAAAGAGATAGTTGCAATACATGTAACAAAAAAAGATAAATCCAGTATCTAAAACACATTTTTTAAAACTCCTCCTAAGAGGTATTAAGAAAAATATAATCTAAAAGAAAAATGGGCAAAAAACATAAACAGATATCTAACAGCTAAAAAGCATATAAAAAGATAATCAATCTCATTAGGACTCAGAACATGCATATTAAAACCACAATGAGATACTATTTCACACTCATCAATTTAGCAAAAATTAAAAAGCTTGACAGCCCTACTTGGTGAGCATAAGGAATAACAGAAACTTATACAGTGCTGATAGTAATATAAAATGGAGAACAATTTGACAATGCCTACTAAAGCCAAAGATGGTACATGTATTCCCTAGCAGCATAGTCATCACATGTATATACCCTAGAAAACTGTTACCCATATGGGCTACATGGTAAGTTCAAGAATATCCATAGCTACATTATTTGAAATAGCAAAAGAAAAAACCTCTGAAAACCTAAATATTCGTAAAAAGAATACATAAATTATAATGCATTCATAGAATGGAATGGCATAGTGCAGTGAAAATGGAAAAGCATTGCTGCAAGCATCAATATGAATGAACTCCAGAAAAAAAGATGTTAAGTGGCACAGAATACATATAGTATGATACAATTTATGTAAAACCCAAACACCACTAAAATTAAGTAAGATCTCAGTAAATGGAGAAATATCCTCATGGGTCAGAAGACTCAATATTGTTAAAATGTTAACTTTTCTCAAACTGATCTATCAGGTCATTTCACTCCCAATCAAAATCCCAGCAGGCTTTTTTGGTAATAACTAATAAGCCAATGCTAAAATTCATGTGGAAATGGAAAGGACAAATAACCAAAACAATTCTGCAAAAAAAGGACAAAGTTAGGAGAATCAAACTATCTGATTTCAACTTCAATAAGTTATGGTAATCCAGACAGTATACACACTATTGGCATAAACACAGAGAGAGACCAATGAAACTGGAACAGCATCCAGGAATAGATCCACACCTAAAAGGTCAACTGACTTTTGACAAAGGTGCAAAAGCAACTCAGTGGATAAATAATAGTCTTTTCAATCAATGGTACTAGAACCACTGGCTATCCAGGTGCAAAAAAAATTTTTTTGGTAATCCATACTTCATACCATTTCCAAAAAATTAACTCAAAAATGGCTCAAAGACTTAAATGTAATATCTAAAGCTGTAAAAATTCCAGAAGAAAATACAGGGGACATTTTTGTGACTTGGTTGCATGAAAATTTCTTAGATATAACACCAAAAATAACATTCCATAAAGTAACAACAATAATAAATTGGACTTACTCAAAATTATTAACTTCTGTTCTTTGAAAAAACAGTCATAGGCTTGGAGAAAATATTTGTAAACTATATATCTGATAAGAACTTGTATCCAGAATGTATAAAGACTTCTCAAAATTCGATATTAAATTTATATTTAAAATGGGCAACCAAAAATTTTTAGGTGGGCAAAAGATTTGAACACCTCCTCAAGCCTCACATGCTACTAAACACATTAAAAATGCTCATGTCATTAGTCACAATAGAAATGTAAAATCAAACCACAATGAGATACAAAACACATGTATTTGAATGACTGAAATTTAAGACCATACATGTTAAGAAGGATGTGCAGCAACGAGAATCACACACATGGTTTATGGAACATAAAATAATCCCTTTGAAAAATTATTGGCAGTTTTCTAAAACATTGAATATACACCTACTAGATGACCAAGCCATTCCACTCACAAGTATTTGCCCACAAGAAACAAAAGCCTATGTCCATAAGACATATACATAAATGTTCATGGCAACTTTGTTTGCAACAGCCCCAAACAAAGGGGTTCGATCCCTAGTCAGGACATATACCTAGCTCGAGGGTTCGATCCCCAGTCAGGGTGCATGCGGGAGGCAACAAATCGATGTTTCTAACATAAGTGCTCTCTCCCTCTATCAAATCAATGAACACAACCTTGGGTGAGGATTAAAATATATATGTTAAAAGGCTTAAAAACAAAAACCCCTTTTTAAATATTCTTTCTGCATGTAAACTTTCTTCATGTATTACTCCTAGAAATGAAGGTTTGCATGTATCATATGGTCAGAACTTTATTTCCTTGAAAATTTATTCTAAAACAGGTATCAGAGACCAGTATAATCACTATGTTACAGATGACACTGGTAACACTAAACTTATGTAAGAGCCACTATACATCGTTCCAGCTCTTCCTGGGAACTGGTGAGTCTCCACCACATCTAGTTTGATGCTGCAGGTATGGCCTCCAGGTCAGATACTGAAGGGTCTTTGAAATTATGTTTAAGACTTTGGACTTTTTCCAAAGAGCAAATCACTAAAATATTTTAAGCAGAGGTATGACATGATCTAATCAGTATCTCTAAAAGATAACACTTTTCCCTGGCTGGTGTGGCTCAGTGGATTGAGTGGTGGCCTGAGAACCAAAGAGTTGCTGGTTCGATTCCCAGTCAGGGCACATGCCTGGATTGCAGGCCAGGTTCCCTGGTGCAGGCCATATGAAAGGCAACCACACATTGATGTCTCTCTCCCTCCCCCTGTGTCTAAAAATAAACTAAATCTTTTAAAAATATATAAAAAAATAAAACATTTTAAAAGACCATTTGATGTCAAGAGTACTTGTAGGAAGGCCAATTTTAAACCAACTGTAATAATTCAGGTGAGAGATGGTTGTGAGTTGGACCACAAAGGTAGCAGAAGGATGGAAAGAAATGGACCAAATTAAGAAATATTCAAGTGATGGAATTTATAGGACTTGATGACTCATTAGATGTAAGGGGTAAGAAAAAAGTAAGAAAAGACTCCCAGGTTTCTGTTTCAGCAGCTGGATGGTGGTTCCAGTCACTACAATAAGGAACATGGGGGAGAAAGCCATTTAGAATATGATGAGTTCTGGCCATGAGTTTGAGGTGCCTGTGAAATAGTAAGTGAAGATATCCAAGAGGCAGATGACAGCCCAGAAGAGTATGTGGGAATCATCCCCAGAAAAAAAAAAATGAACCAAAGCCTGAGAAGTATGAAGTATGAGCCTAGAGAGAGAGTAAGAGAGAGAATGAGAATGTCGATACTGCAACAGTTAGGTGGGAGGGAAGAAGAGAGAAAAAGGAAATTTCTACTTTTTGATAAAATCTGGTTTCCCCTTCTATTTATATACCAAACAATAAAAATTAAATTTTAACAAAGGGAGTAAAAAAGGACTGATGAGAAAAGAAAAATAGAGGCAATAATTTATGTCAGATTGAATACCGATGAAAAGGTAAAGAGAAGATTTTGAGTCTGGCGTTAGGAGAGGTATGCCTAGTTCCTGAAGATGTTCAAATAAATGTACTTCCGTGGCATGTTGCCTTGTTCTGTTTAATTGGCTTCCTTCATAGAAATGTCTTAAGTGTCAAAGATATTGTTGATATAGATTCCAATAACAAAGGACCAGAGTATAAACCCAATTAAATATTAATGGAGTTCTGAGAACACTAAGATTGATTAGTTTCTTCCCTTGACTGATTAACTACTCATACCCTTGATGATTAAGTTACTCCTTGGATATCAGCTCTTAGATTGTCACTCTACAAACCAGTAAGGACAGTCTTGTAACAGTTGTGCCCAGAAAATTTTATCAGAAAGTCTTATTTGTCATCTCATCTTATACAAGATTATAAACCCAAGACATCCTCAGGAAGTCTTACATTTTAACTCTACAGGGTAAATCCACAGGTAGTTCAAAATCAATCAGTTTCAAATGGGCACTCAAGTCACATGACTAGACCTGACCCCTGACTCTGTTATGTAAACACCAAGGACCTCCTCTGTAAAACAGGGATGATACCTACATTACAGAGTATCTGAGAGGATCAAATGAGACAATGTAACAGTTTTAAGATATTTTTAAATCAGGGCAAGTCATCAACAAGTATTTTCTCTTCTATTGCATATAAAGAACTGTAGACCCTGGATGTACAAGACATATAGGAAGAAACAAAAATGCTGAAAACCGAGGTACTATTCCAAGATGATCCATCTATTTATTGGCCCTCTATAAGGTATGATCATACTTATAATTATCAAGATTCCAACTCACTGTATGCATACTACTTTCTCAAAATAACCTTACATTTCAGAGGGTACCTACAGACTTTATTTTAACCTAAGACAGACATGGACTTGAACAATGATTAAAAAAAAAAAAAAAAAAAAACAGACAGACATGGTACAAGTAATTTCAAGTGTGATGTATCTGAGAAAAAATGCAGAGACTAACCTAATCTGGGATTACGGAAAGTCATAGAAGGCTTCCCCAAATAAGTACGTTTTTTTTAATTTATTTTTTATTTGGCCCTGGCTGTGTAGCTTAGTGGACTGAGCGCGGGCTGCGCACCAAAGTGCCGCAGGTTCGATTCCCAGTCAGGGTACATGCCTGGGTTGCAGGCCACGGCCCCCAGCAACCGCACATTGATGTTTCTCTCTCTCTCTCTCTCTATCTCCCTCCCTTCCCTCTCTAAAAATAAATAAATAAAATCTTTAAAAAAATTATTTTTTATTTTATTGTTGTTCAAGTACAGTTTTCTTCCTTTCCCCCCACCACTCCCCCTGACCCGGGCCATCCCCACCTCCCTCCCCTGATTCCACCCCCTGTTGGTTTTGTCCAGGTGTCCTTTATAGTTCCTGAAAATTCTTCACCCTTTTCCCCCCATTACCCCCTCCCATATCCCCTCTGGCTACTGTCCATTTGTTCTTAATTTCAATGTCTCTGGTTATATTTTGCTAGCTTGTTTGTTTTGTTGATTAGGTTCCACTTATAAGTGAGATCATGTGGTATCTGTCCCTCCCTGCCTGGCTTGTTTCACTTAGCATAATGGTCTCCAGTTCCATCCACGCTGTCACATAGGGTAGGAGTTCCGTCTTTCTTTCTGCTGCATAGAATTCCATTGTGTAAATGTACCATAGTTTTTTGATCCACTCATTTACTGATGGGCATTTGGGTTGCTTCCAGCACTTGGCTATTGTACATTGTGCTGCTATGAACATTAGGGTGCACAGGTTGTCTTGGATTGGTGATTCAAGGTTCTTAGGATATAATCCTAGCAGTGGAATTGCTGGATCAAAAGGTAGTTTCATTTTCAGTTTTCTGAGGAAATTTCATACTGTTTTCCATAGTGGCTGTACCAGTCTGCAATCTAAATAAATAAGTTTAAACTCAGATCCAAATGGTGGACAGATAATAATTTTGCTTTTAATGGCTATAGTTAAAATTAACAAGAGTTATATTTATACCCTACTATAAAAATGTACAGATCTTTTATAGCTTAATGGTTTACTACTGTTAATGTGTTAAGATTAGATTTAGTTGAATAAATTAGATAAAAGTTACCGTGCTGCCATTCTGACGTAGAACACTGTTATTCCATCATAGATAAGCTACAAATTTTATATATAAAAAGATTTAAGAAAACAGACCATGTATATATTCACCTACATATAAAATGTTAATAGACAGAATTAGACATTAAATAACAAAGTTAATATTTATTGGGTACTTATTATTTGTATTACTAATAAATACTTCATAATAATTACTCGTGCATTCTGTGTATTATTTCAGTTCATTCTTATAACAGTCCTATAAAGCAAGTTGAAATATTATTCCTACTTTATAAATGAGGAAATGTAGGATTAGAAAAGTTAGCTAACTTGCTTGGGCCTTGTGGAGACACACTCAAAACTGATTCCAAAAGTCACATTCTTAACAGCCCCATCCTTCCCGACTGTGGAGAGCAGATGAAAGAAAGCCAGCCCTCCTTAGAACCGCCGGGACTCACGAGGAGGGTATCTATCGGGCATTTATTTTTAGTCTACCTTACACATAATGTAGAATACTATTTCAGGGAAAACATAGCCTACATCTTCTCAGTGATGTAAGGATAGTATTCATTAAGTAAGTAAGAGTAAGTATTTTTATAGTCATTTAGGTAAATACATATTTTTAAATATAGCAAAGGCATAAAGGCAAAAAAGACACTACTGGAGGAGTTAAACAAAAGAAATTTATGAAAGATAAAATGTATTTAATTTCTGCAACACTTGATTTGTAGAGCCTGATAAGAAGAAGCCTGCTAAATGAGAGATGCGGAGCAGGCTACTGACACACTGAGAAATGCAGCCTTTCTGTGCAAATGAAACTAGAGTCCCATTTATGTCATATGTATTGAACACTCATGGGCACTGTCCTGTTCCTAGTGCCAATTCATCTCATTTCTCTGACTTTTCTCCCTTTTCTGATTAATGTAAATAAAATTTGAACCAATAAAATAAAAAGAGTCATTGGAAAAAGCTGTGTGTTCTGTATCCTTCTTTGGCAAGGCACACATGGCTGAAAGAATGGAAACAAAATACCAGCATTTGCCTCCAGGGCTCCCATGAGGATAAGCTGATAAAATTTAGCCCAGAACTAAGTCCGGCACACAGGGTGCTTCTATTCACTAGCTGCTGCTGCTGCCACAGGGTCCGCATTCTTCATGATTTCTACCCTGTATCCTATAACCATTTCAGATATCCTAAGAAGATACTATATAGCAGTGTGGTGTACAGAAAGAGCATTGGGTTAGAGATCAGAGTAGTTTAGGTTGCTCCATGCAACAGGTGAATAGAAGCAAGCAAATGCTTTAAATGTGTTACACAAAACCTAATTTGTAAAATGGGGGGTAATGCCCTCTACCTTACACAATCATGAAGAGAATTATACTAAAGGTGATAATGAACAGTAAAGTATTATTAAGCCATAAAAAACTCTAAGTATGTAAGGTATTATCTGATAAACAAACACAGATATACAAATGTCTAAAAAGCAAAATGGAATTGTTACTGATTTACAGTCACATGTCCAACCCTGATTCTGGGACTACATAGAATCTATAGGTTTAGACACCTGCCCAAAGGAAAAAACTTTTATCTACAGTTATCATAATATTTACACAGTAAAGCTTACTAATGTTCACAAGCACATACTTACTTTGACTATTGTTTTAGGGCGTTTTTTAAAAAATAGTTTTGGCTTTTCAACCACAGGAAGAGGTGGAAGTTTCTTAAGCTCCTGTAAGACAGTGGTTGCAGCGCGCTTCTTGGACAGTTTTTTGCTATTTCCCTCTCCTTCTGCAGAGAACTCTCCCACTGACACCCGAGTAACAAAGCTTTTCATATGGGGTGGTCCACTTTCTTTAATAACCTATAAAACATAAATACAATATTAAATAACATAGAGGTACTTAAGATGTGTTCTTAAAGCTTGGATCTTTTTTAATGTTGATGTCAGAATGAACATTATGAATGTTCAAATGAACATTTGAAAGAATTATTTCAAAATTATGGATTTTTTAAATAAAGCTATTATAAAGGTATTAAATAAGGACTACTCAACTGTGATACTTATGATGCTTAAAAAACTAAAATTGGAAATACAGAAATCTAAATAAATATATTCAGCCCTGGCTGATGTGGCTCAGTGTATTGGGTGCTGGCCTGTGAACCAAAGGGTCTCTGGTTCAATTCCCAGTCAGGGCACGTGCCTGGATTGCAGGTCAGGTACCCAGGAGGGGGTGTGCGAGAGGCAACCACACGATGATGTTTCTCTCCCTCTCTTTCTCCTTCCCTTCCCTCTCTCTAAGAAGTAAATAAAATCATATCTTTAAAACAACAAAAATAAGTAAATAAATAAATATTCAATTCATGCTCAAAATTGTTTTTTACTAGTTTAAAACAGTCAATTCTATGGTTACCCATTTCTTATGGAACAGAAAATTAAAAACATAAAACATACCACATTAGATTAGGTACACAGGACATCAAGAATGATAATGTGCACATTTCCCATTCTCTCCTCTGGACTAGTAAGTTACTGGAGGGTGAGGACCATGGTTTACTGGAGTTCTATAAGCCATCAGGCATCTGCCTGAGGGAGTCACTCAGAAACAGTTGGTGGGTGGACACTAACCTATATTTGACATAGACATCAAAGGTTGTTTTATGGAAAGGAATGTTTACTCTCTGTGACATGATCTAAGAAGGTAAATAGATATGCCATAGAAATACCTAGCTTTCTACAGCATTAGATTATGAGTCTGTCAGCTCTGAATACTCCCAAACCCAGTATTAATGCACTCTTTGAAACCAAGACAACTTTTCAAGGAAAGATGCATTCTAAAACCTGAGTACTCAAAACTTTAGTTTCTTTCAAAATTCTGACCTATAAAAGGTACCCTATTTAAATAGTTTATTATTTAACATTATATTAAAAGTTTGTCTTTTTGGATATCAATACAAAAATTAAAAACAACAATAGCTCAATAATTCAACAATGCTAATGATAAGGAATTTATAATAAGCATACTTTCCAAGTATTACTAGTTGAAATATCAAAATTGTTTAACTACTTTCTTGGACATGCTCCTGAATTAAAAAAAAAAAAAAAGAAAAAAACTACTTTACTGATCACCATTTGAACATCAAATATTCTATAACATATATTGATCCTGCCAAGGACTTCCAGGACTGATAAAACTGTTCTTATTCATTGTAGCCTTTAAAGGTCCCAAATCCAATAGTTTTTGAGTACCTGCAATTACTTCGTTTGGTTTTCCATCCTGTCCCTATCATTTCTTGCTGGGTCTATAAGCAATCAAGTAAATCCTGTCCCTGCCTTCCCCATTTTTCTGCTTTTAATCTGCTCCAGGCTGACATCAAACAGCCCAGCCTGTTGGAATTGCGTCTAAGGAGAAAGCAGACAGATTCTCAGCTGAGGTTAGTTGATCCCATGAGTGAGTTAAATGTGGGAGCTTTCTGGAAGGTGAACAATTTGAAGGAGGATACTCCACGACTATTTCAGCTTATTTCCTGGGTTTTGCCAATTTTCTGGATATCAGAGTTGAAAAAGTAAAAATTCCTTGATGTTGGAGGTACCATAATAATTAAAACATTTTTCTCTTTTAAATTTCACACAATTTTATAAACATTTTGGGACATATTTATCTATTGCTACTTGCAAAGTAGACAGCTGCTTACTTAGTAGCTTGGTAAAATTTAAACATATTTTGGCAAGTACAAAAAAATGTTATTAGCACATATGTGTCACTGAACAGTACCTCAGATATTTTCAATTTGATCCTACTAAAAACACTAAATTCTCTAGAGTGCTACAAATTAACTTATACTCAGAAAATAAATTTTATGATGAAAATTGAAATATACATACAGATGGTTTAATACTGAAAAGCCACAGAGATCAACAGGAATCCACAACATTGTAATAAGTTCTACCATATGATTTCACTCACATGTGGGATATAAAACTGAAACTCACGGATACAGACAGCAGTGTAGTAGTTGCCAGAGAGAGGAGGGTGGTGCAGGATGGAGGGGATGTGATATATGTTGACAGAAGAGGGACTGGCTTCAAGTGGTGGGCAAACAGTACAGTATACAGATCATGTGTCTTAGAAATGTACACTTGAAACCTATACAATCCCATTAACCAATGTCACCCCAATAAATTTAATAAAAATTAATAAGTTCTATTTTTCCCAGCGCCTGTATCATTTCATGACAGAGTATGAACATAAAGAAGCACATTAACTCCTTCAGGATACTAGTATACCGGTTAATTTTACTTATTGGTTTACTTAAGTTAATAACAAACAGGTTTAGGAGGGTTAGAAGGTCTCTACTGAGAACATACCTCAAAACTGACGGGCATATTTCGCTTCAGAGCAATTTCAAACACTAAGCTGATCTCAGATTTATTTGCATCTTTGTCATCATCCACTTCTTTTCCAGATTCACCATTCTAAATCACACACAAAAAACAGTATGATATTGAATCTACACTTCATAACTTTGTACATAGTCGAAAGGAAACTACAAAGACATACAGAAAACCACAGACTGGTTCTTGTGGATTCCTAGGTAACCACAGCAGCCAAGCACTTTGCTATGAGGCTCTTTGTTATTTGTTTTTAGGGGGGTTTTCCTCAAAGTAGAAGGATAAATGCTGCATGTTAAAGTCTTTCACTTAGCCATACACTAATTTGAGTTCATCTAGTTCTCTAGAAATCTCTATCACCCACTCTACCCCCCACACACACTGGTGTTATAACATGATATTTAATCTTCTATGAAAACTAAGCTGTAGAAAGAGTACAGGATGTAAACCAGAATTCCAGAGCTCTGGGTCTGGCCCTTGCACCAATTCACTTACTTATTTAACACATATTTCTGGAGGGAGGACCTCAGATACGCTGAACATAGCATAAGTAATAGAGATAGAGTAGTCCTTCTGTCAGGAGGCTTATGATGTAGTGGGAAAACAGATAACATCCTAATAAATGTGTATGGGAGAAAAATACGTAAGTGTGCTATTAACCACGATCAACCTCAGAGGCAGAGAAACAACAGGCTTGGGAAACTGCAGAGGTTGAACTGTACAGTTTGAAATAACTAAGTGGAACACTCAGTAAGAAAAGGGCTTCTAAAACATGCCTGAGGTGGAGATACTATTTTGAAGTCAACAGCAAAAGCAGCTAAAGCCATGAGAACAGGTGAAATTGCTCAAGAATAACCTCGAAATTCCTCATTTGTAAAAATTAAGTAGGACTGGAAAAATCAACAAAGATCTTATCCACTTTAAATTCCTCAATTCCAGATCAACACAATATAATCCATGCTCAAAAAATGTAGCATTAAATGCAAGGTAAATGAACATTATTTCTCATACTTGTACACATTCCAAAATCCTGAGCTGCCTGGGAAGTGTACTCCATACGTGAACCAAAGTTCTCAAAGGCAAGGTCCTCCTGGCAGGAACACACGTCTAGTACAGTAGACAGGTAATCTGAGAAGTAAATCAGAGGAGAGCACCACTCTTGTTTTCTTTCCTATCAGAACAGATTGTTTCTTCTATGTGTAAAAATGCATTTCTTTGTCTTTTCACTCATCTCACTGGGGATCTACAGAAAGAGACTGTCACATGCAGCAGCACCACACCTGAGGAGATTTTTCTGGAAGGGGTTCATTCTGCAGTGCTTGGAGGGCTTTCATGGCGGCGTTGTGTCTAGCAGCTTGTCGAGTCTTCCCTTCCCCAAAAAATTCATTATTTCCTACAGTCAGCTGAACATAAAAGATCTTAGGCATCGGGCAATGATACCTAAAATAAGAAAATAAAATATTATTGTTAGTTCAATAAAATCACTCTATAGTCATTACTAAGATTTGTTAACTGGAATTATCTTCTGTTTTTGTAAACACAAACAAACAAAAAAAAAACGGGATTATCTTCTGGAGGGTGGGCCCCTTGTAGCAAAGGCTTCCCCTACTAGGTGAGTGTTCAAGGAAGCCATCTGTGTCAGTGTACCACTGACATTGCAGTGAGAGGCTGCGCTCAGCTTCAGTGAATTTTTTTTGAAGACTCAATGCATTTGCCCATTTCATGATGGGTGATTTACGTGTGCACCTGCTCACACCACGCTGAGTATTCAGCAGTTTTTGACCAGAAATGGCATGACCCATGTGCCCAACCCCCGCTATTTACCAGATCTCACCCCAAGTGACTTTTTTTTCTTTCCCCAGATGAAAAACACCCTCAAAGGGAAACATTTTGCCAATGTGAAAGAGGTGAAACAAAAAACAGCAGAAATACTAATTAAAAGGCATCAAAATTGATGAGTTCAAAAACTGTTTTGAGCAGTAGAAAAAAAAACCTTGACAGGTGTATTGCATTAAATGGAGAGTATTTTTGAGGTGAATGAAGTTGAAACATTTAAGAATACACAATTTTTTAATAAATAAATTCCAGTTTTTCTGGATCCCCCTCATAATGTACTATGCCCTCTTATTAACCCTAATAAAGTTTTAACTTCAAGTTTTTGACAGATTTTGATGGAAGTGAGCCAAATGGTGTGGTACTAAAGGATGGGGAGCCAGCACAGAGGATGGAGATGAGCAAGGCCATTTAGGTGACAACACAAAGATAACTGTGCTTTTAGCAGAAGACAACCATGAAATGGGTGGGGCAGGGAGAGGGAGTAACACCTCCAAATTGATAAGTACTTTGCAAAAAAATAAGGAGATCAGATTCAACATTAAAAAAAAAAGACAGCCTTGGTTGGTGAAGCCCAGTGGATTGAGCATGGACCTTCGAACCAAAGGGTTGCCGGTTCGATTCTCAGTCAGGACACATGCCTGTGTTGTGGGCCTGATCCCCAGGATGGGGCATGGGAGAGGCAACCACACATTGATGTTTCTCTCCCTCTCCTTCTCCTTCCCTTCCCCTCTCTCTAAAAATAAATAAATAAAATCTTTAAAAAAAGGAAAATGACAAACCAATTCTTAGGTAGAAAGTATAATAATAAAATGTATTGAAGGTAAAATTTTTAGGTTACAGTTGAATGTGACTGAGGTAGAGAAGAATGACTAGAATGCTGCAGCGATGCAGACATGAGAGGATAAAAGCAGGTGTAAGAAGAAAGAACAAACCTAGAAAAAATTAAAAAGAAAAATTAAGGTGATATGCAATAAAACCCACTAACTCAACAATTATTTATGGAACACCTTCTATGACAGGGGAACACAACAATGAACAAAAATGCACATTATAGTGGAGAACAGACAAAATATAAGGCATACATGTAGAACATTGTATGTTAGAGACATCTGTTAAACAGTAAAAGAGCCCAAGGTTCAGAAGTGTTGTAAAGGTGGATTTTGGATGGGGTAGCCAGAGGTGGGTTGTCTCACTGAGAAAACGACAACTGTGTAAAGAGCTAAAATAAGTGAAGGAGGAAACCATGAAGGTTCTGGAGCACTGCAACTGAAGCCGAGAAAATGTCAAGCAGAAAGGCCCTGAGGCAGCAGCATGCCCTGCACGGTCATCTAATTCAAAGGAGGCCCATCTGCTTGGAGTTGAGGGAGAAAGGAAAGGAAAACCAGGAGATAAACAGAGGTGGTCAGAGTTCCTTAAGGCTTTTGTTAGAAATCATTGTAAGAATCTGACTTTCACTGAGTGAAATGGCCAGCCACTAGAAGGTTTCGAGTAGAGAAGTGACATGATGTGGCTTACACTGTTCAAGGCCCATCTGACTGCTACACTGAGAAAAGACTGTAAGGAACGAGGACAGAAGCCAGGAGATCTATCAGGAAACTAGAGCAGTATCACGGGAAAGGCAACAGCAGCCTGAACAAGACTGACAGCAGAGGAAGTGACAAGAAGTAGTGGGTTCTAGTTGAATTTCAAAAGTAGAGAGACAGGGTTAACCCAAGAATGGGCTATGAAATAAGAGAGAGGAGTCAAGAAGGAACCCAGGGTTTCTGACCTGAGCTCCTGGAAGATGGAGTACTGCATACGGAGTTGGTGAAGACCACAAAAGGAAAGGGTTCGTTGGAGGGCAGACGTTTGCAGCTCTGGTTTGAAGATGTGAAATTAGGCCTCTTATATATCCACATGGGGATGTCAAATGGAGAGCTGGATTTATGAGTCTGGACTCCAGGAAAGAGGTCCAAGGTGGGAATAAAATTTGGGAATCTTCAATATATCAATGGAATTTAAAGACATGAGACAGTGAGAGCTCTGCAGGTGGGAGTTATAGGAAATTGAGGCAAACAGGGTCTCCTTTCTGCAAACTAAGTTGGAAAGTCTAGCATGGAGAAGTGAGAGGTCGATTGTGTCAAACGCTATGAACTAGCAAAACCCATAGGATCGATTTTGATGGAATGGTACATTTATAAAAATGCTGAAAAATTAAGTGCAAAATCAGCACAGTGCTGAAAGATGTCTGTTTCCAAGAAAAAAGAAGCCCAGTCAACTTTACTACTGAGTTTTAGAGGACTAGTGGACATCTAGGTAGCAGTGTTCTAAATTCAACTTGATCAGCTGGCCAGAGCCCATCATGTACAAATCTCCAGGAAGGTGGGACTAACAGTGAAGTTTTACTGAAAGTGAAGGACAAGAGTGCAGGTCAGCAATGCAGATGTGGGAGGCACTAATTGAAACCATGTGAGTGGATAAGCACCTGAAAAAGGGAAGCGAAAAGGACCAAGAGAAAGCCTGAGACTGGGCTCTGATTAATGCCTATGATCAAAAGACAGGGGAAATAATAGACAGCAGTGAAAGAGATGAAAGCAGGTCTGAGTTAGAAAAGAAACAACACAACGTCAGGGAGATAATCAGCAGTGTCAAAGGTAGTGGAAAAAGCCAGAGTCTGAAAAAAAGGGAGCAAGTTGCTGTTTTAAATTCTGAAGAGTCAATATTTTTGGCCCACTGTTTCCTATTAATTTGTTTTAAGATAAAGTATTTTTGTGTTTTATTATGTCATATGTTCTCATTTTTAATTGGCAAATATGAAAAAGTTAAAGGAAGAAAAATATCACTACAGTAACAGGCTATTTTAACATGCGAAGACTAAGAAGCATTAGAAATCACAAACTTTTTTGCTCTTTGCTTACAATAACTAATACACTAAAATGCAGTCTCCCATTGCCTGTTTTGTTTCAGAGATCTGTAATGTAAAAATTTGGACTAAAAGGTTGAAAGACTATTTTGTGTCCCACAAAATCCATTTTTCCCACCTCTAGAGAACTTGATGCATGTTGTAAACCAGTCCCACTACAAAACCTTTTAAAACAGACAACCTGAAATCAAAATTGACTCCTGAGATCTTACATGTCAAGCTTTTGCCATAGAGCAAACATTTACAATTAATTACACACTTCTGAAAACAGGGGTCCACAAGTGGAATGCTAGCAGACCCTTAACTACAGGAGAGGGAGTGGGCGCCACTGTAATCACTTCGGCCTGCTGACAATTACAAAACTCATTTTGGTTTGCCACAGAGGCAAACAAAATTTCTGTTCATTATAACTTTACTGGAATATGATGTCATAACACATAACCATACTGAAACAATCTGCTGATTTTCTAACCAAAATATTAATTGTACACTAAAGAGCCCTCGGGGCCTCTTCCTTTTTGGCCTTCAAATACAGCTCTATGTACGCGTATGTGCATGCAAGCGGATATATGTGTACATATAAATCATACCAAATAGTATCAGAGGGAAAATTAGGTATGTTGTGTTCTTAAACATTTGAGTACTAACAACAGGAAATACCAAAACCCAATGCCTGACTAGTTTCATTCCACTTTTACTCCATCCTCTTACTTAACAACGATCCTTAATAACCTTCCCCACTTGGGGTGAACACCTCACAGACCCCATCTCCTCCTGTGACCATGACAACTGAGACTCACCAGAGCTCTCTTATTAATGGCACCCAGACTGAATTACAGGACAGATGATGCAGAATGTTTTTTTGTGCATTAGGTCCTGGTCTCTAAATATTTATTTCTTTTCTTTTGGTAAAGAAACACTTGAAATTTACTAACTTCAAAGGCTATGTTCTATTTCATGGAGTTCCTTTTTCTATTTTTATTTATTTGAAACGCTAATCTCACTTTTGGTCAAGTTCTTATGGTAAGTGATAAATATATTCCACAAATCAGTATTTACTTACCTAAGCTTACATTGGTATTCTTGAATGATTTTTTTTATTAGAATTTTGTGGTCAATGCTTAAATCCCCATAGTAACTACTGTTAAAAGATCAGCAGGGAAAACTCACCCATCCATCTAAGCTATTCAAGTTTCAGGGTCAAAGGTTTCTACCCACAACCTCCAAAGTATATTCTTCGAAGTGCAATTCCACTTTCATCTGAATCTTTTGTACTTGTTAAAAATGCAGATTTCCGTCCTGGCTGGCATAGCTCAGTGGATTGAGTGCAGGATGAGAACCAAAGCATCACAGGTTCGATTCCCAGTCAGGGCATATGCCTGGGTTGCAGGCCACGACCCCCAGCAACTGCACATTGGTGTTTCTCTCTCTCTCTTTCTCCCTCCCTTCCCTCTCTAAAAATGAATAAATAAAATCTTAAAAAAAAACAAACAAACAAACCAAAAACTCCATCCCCTGAATCAGTTCCTGGGGATGGACAAAATCTTTACTAAAGTTTCCCTGGTGAGTCTCCACTCTGAAAGTCTAAAAGCCACTGCCCCACAATAGTGCCACATCCTACAACAGGGTTCCTGTGACTTGACAATAACTTCAAAATCCATGCAGGCAAAGGACTTCCTCAGAGCACATGGTCAGAGTTCTT